CGACAGTAAATTAGTTAAACATTATTTCCCTTTAAAGCTTTTGAGAAGATTTGTAGCTTGGGTTGTGGATGAGGTTGTAGACTTGTTCGCCGAGCCGGTGTGTTTTGTTGCAGACATTTCATCACCCTGCTAGGTAACGTTGTCAGTGCGCCTCCAGTGAAGCATTGGTGTTCTGTCCCGCTTGTTATTTATATGCCTTGGTTTGCTGGGGTGGTTGGTATTACTTCCAGTTCTGTTTTTCAGTGGTCCAGTTCAATGTGTTGTTTGATGGAGTTCCAGCTTGAATGCCAGGCCTCCAGAAATTCCCTGGTATGTCTCTGTTTGGCTCATGCTATTATGGATGTGTTGTCCCAGTCGAATTCGTGTCCTCCTTTGTCCGTGTGTATTGAGACCAGTGAGAATTGGTCGTGTCTCTTGGCGGCTAGTTGGTGTTTGTGTATGCTTATTGTCAGTTTTCTTCCAGTTTGGCCCATGTAATGTTTTTCACAGTTCTTGCAGGGTATTTTGTATATTACGTCAGTTTTATTGGTTGTGGGTATGGGATCCTTTATGTTCGTCAGTAGCTGTCGCAGTTTGTGGGCTACCCTATACCCAAGAATCTGCGCAGTCTTGTGGTTATCTCGGATGTACTTTAGGGTGACTAGTGTGTCTGGGTGTATTGCATCTCCTTGTTCTGGTCTGTCACGGAGGTAACGGCGGATTGTGCTTTTTGGGTATCTATTCCTTTTAAAAGCTCCATGCAAGTGCTCCTGTTCTGCTTTGCGCAATTTTGGATTGCTGTAGGGTGTTGTGGCCTGTTTGAATAATGCCCTGATACAGGTCCATTTTGGATGTTGGGATGGTTGCTGGAGTAATTAAAGTATCTGGTCCATATGTGTGGTCTTTCTGTATACACTAGGAGTTTGCCGTTGTTCTTACATTCTACTATTATGTCTAGGAAGGGTAAACGGTTATTGTTGTCTTCTTCTTTTGTGAATTCTATTCAGTGAGGATGTTGTTTATGGTTCGGTGGATTTCTTCTAGTCTTGTGGAAGTAATGCCAACCACCCCAGCAAACCAAGGCATATGAATAACAAGCGGGACAGAACACAGACGCTTCACCGGAGGCGCACTGACAATGTTTCCTAGCAAGGTGACGAAACATCTACAACCAAACACACTAGCTCACCAAGCAAGTCTCCAACCTCATTATTTCCCTTTGACAAAACCACATTCTCTCTGCCTGATTATCTTGAACTTATCTAAGTGCCCTACTGTAATGTATTTAGTAACTGCTTATAACATTTTCTCTGTAGGAGATGTTAAGCTAACTGGCCTGTAGTTTCCTACTTACCGCCACCTTCTTTGAATACAGGAATTGTATTAGCTATGTCCTACTCTGAAGGAACCTTCCCTGAATCTAATGAGTTTTGGAAAATAAAGCCAACATATCATCTGTTTCAGTAGCTACTTTAAGACCATGGATGAAATCCATCAGGACCTGGGGACTTGTCAACTTGCACTTCCACCGATTTCTTTTGTATTACTTCCTTGATAATTATAATTTTATTCAGTAAGTTTCTTGATCCCCCTCCCCGCCCCATTTTAATCCCTGATTTACAGCTATTTCCGGGATGCTACTTGAGTCTTCTGTAGTGAAGATCGACACAAATCTCTGTTCAATTCATCTGCCATTTCTTCATCCTCCAATACTAAATCCCCAGACTCCATTTCAAAAGGACCTTATTTTGTTAACATGTTTGTTTTATTATCTGAATAAACATTTCCTATCTGTTTTCATATTTTTAACAAACTTCATCGCTCCTTATTAACCTTTTAGTAATTTTTTTTGCTGTTTTTATATTCTGTCTGACCTTTTGATCTGCCACCTATCTGAGCAGAATTATATGTCTTTTCTTTGAGTTTGATGACATCTTTGACATTTTTTTTTAAGGTGTCCTCAGATTGTGGGGTCTGTCCCTTTAGAATTTTTCCCTTTTTTTTATTGCAAAGCAACAACCTGAGTGACCCTTTGTCAGAACTTCAGTGTCACTGGACCCGAAATTCTAACTCCGATTTTTTTTCAACAGGTGCTGCCAGACCTACTGAGACTTTCCAGCAATTTGTTTTTATTTCTTCCTAAACATTTCCCACTGTGACCCCATTTCAAGATTTGAAAATGCCATAACTCTGCAGTGGGGGTGGGAGGCAGAGCTGTGAGGATCAGCGGCAAAACATTTAAACTTCAGGGATTTTTAAAAACCTCCTTTTCACTGGCCTTTTTGGAACAGGAATCGTGCCTTAAAAATTGCTCAGTTAGTCCACGTCCACTGTTAAAAATCATGAGGATTTAAAGGGACCTCGCAGCTGCTAGCACTCAGTCAGAGCTGTACAGCAGCCATTACTGCCTTAGAGCTCGAGACCCCAAAAACTCAACTCGTGACTCCACAGTTTAGAAAGCCCTGTCTTAAATTGACCAATCAAAACAGTCCAGAAGACAGCAACTTTTTTTCCACCAAATCATTTTCAGTATCTACTCTTGTGTTAACAGAGTAAATGTCCATTGAGTGGATTAATCTAGATGGAACATATTGAATTTTAGATCATTTGGAAAAAGTCACAAAGTGCCAGAGTATTTTTGTTACTAGTTGGATTACGATTGTTGATTAGTAAATCACCGAGCTGCTGAAGGGTCTAAATGGAAAATTTACTTATTTGATTATGTTTTGTAGCTGAGAGTCTTTTTAGATGTGCAAAATTATTTTTTTGAGTTTGAGATGATAGAAAATAGGCCGTCATCTCTTTTAGTGCCCTGGGATGCATGCCATCAGGGCCAAGAAACCTGTTTACCTGTAGCCCCATTAGCTTGCCCAACACCATCTCTTTAGTGGTAATGATCGTTTTCTAGGTCCTCACCTGCCATTGCCTCCATAGGCCTTCAAAAATGAGTCAATGAGAGTATAGAGACAGTATGTTCCTGTTAATGTGAAGGGCAAGGCTGTTAGGTGTAGGGAATGCTGGATGACTAGAGACATTGAGGCTCTGGTCAAGAAAAAAATAGGAGGCATATATCAAGTATAGACAGCTGGGATTGAGTGAATCCCGAGAAGAGGGAAAGGACAGTAGGAGTATACTCAAGAGGAAAATCAGGAGGACACAAAGGGGACATGAGATAGCTTTGGCAAATAGGGTTAAGGAGAATCCAAAGACACTCTACAAATGCATCAAGGGAAAAAAGAGAAACTAGGCAGAGAATAGAGCACCTTAAAGATTAGCAAGGCCGTCTATGTATGGAACCACAGGAGGTGGGAGAAATACTATATGGGGATTTCATGTCAGTTTTTACTGTGGAGAAGGATACGGAAGGTAGAGAATTTGGAGAAATAAATAGTGATATCTTGAAAAGTGTCCATATTACAGAGGAGTAGGTGCTGGACGCATAAAGGTAGGTTAATCCTTGGGACTGATCAGGTGTATCCCAAAACTTTGTGGGAAGCTAGGGAAGAGATTGTTGGGTCCCTTGCTGAGATATTTGTATCATCGATAACCATAGGTGAGGTGTTGGAAGTCTGGTGGCATTATCTATGAAAGGTGGTAAGGAAAAGCCAGAGAACTGTAGATTGGTGAGCCTGAAGTCAGTGGTGGATAAATTGTTGGAGGGCATTCTAAGGGATAGGATTTACATCTATTTGGAAAGGCAAGGAATGATTATGGATAGTCACCATGGCTTTGTGTGTGGAAATCATGTCTCACTAACTTGATTGAGGTTTTTGAAGAAGTGACAAAGAATATCGATGAAGGCAGAGCGGTGGTTGTGTCTATATGGACTTAAGGCATTCAACAAGGTTCTACATGGTAGATGGTTAGCAAGATTCGGTCACATTGAAATACAGGGAGAGCTAGCTATTTGGATATAAAATTGGCTTGACGGTAGGAGACAGGGGATGATGGTGGAGGGTTGCTTTTTGTACTGAAGGCTCGTGACCAGCGGTGTACCGCAAGGATTGGTGCTGGGTCCACTGCTTTTTGTCATTTTATATAAATGATTTGGATGTGAAAACAGGAAGTATGGTTAGTAGGTTTACAGATGTCACCTAAATTGGTGTTAAAGTCAACAGTGAAGGAAGTTATCTTAGTACAGTGGGACCTTGATTGAATGGACGAATGAACCGAGGAGTAGCAGATGGATTTTAACATAGATAGATGTGACATGTTGCATTTTGGTAAGGCAAATCAGGGCAGCACTTCTACACTTAATGGTAAGGTCCTGGAGAGTGTTCCTGAACAAAGAGATCTTGGAGTGCAGGTTCATAGTTCCTTAAAAGTGGAGTCACAGGTATTCAGGATAGTGAAGACGACATTTGGTACGCTTGCCTTTTTTGGTCAGTGCGTTGAGTGTAGGAGTTGGGAGGTCATGTTGCGGCTGTACTGGACATTTTAGCCACTTTTGGAATACTGCATTCAATTCTCTTCTCCCTGCTATAGGAAAAATTTTTGAAACTTGAAAGGGTTCAGAAAAGATTTTTACAAGGATGTTGCCAGGGTTGAAGGGTTTGAGCTATTGGGAGAGGCTGAACAGGCTGGGGCTATTTTCCCTGGAGCATTGGAGGCTGAGGGTTGACCTTGTAGAGGTTTATAAAATCATGGGGGGCATAGATAGGGTGAACAGCCAGGGTCTTTTTCCCAGGGTAGGGAGTCCAAAACTAGAGGTCATAGGTTTAAGGTGAAAGAGGAAAGATTTAAAAGGGACTTAAGAGGCAACATTTTCACACAGAGGCTGGTGCGTGAATGGAATGAGCTGCCAGAAGAAGTGGTGGAGGCTGGTACAGTTAGAACATTGAAAAGGCATCTGGATGTGTACATGAATAGGAAGGGTTTAGAGGGACATGGGCCAAATGCTGCAAATGGAACTAGATTAATCTAGTTCCATCTGGTCGGCATGGATGAGTTGGACTGAAGTTGTTTCCATGCTGTACATCTCTATGACTATATGAGATCAAACTAAGTATTTCCTGTTTCAGGCTGAAATACGGGCAGCTGTATTCTTGGCACTTGAAGAACAGGAGAGAGTAGAGGTAAGTGTTTTTGCAAAGCAAAGAGTTATTTTCAACAGCTGATAAATAGTAACCACTGTACATTTGTTCTAATTGTCAAAAATCAAAATGTATTTATATAGCACATGCTAAATTCATGAGGATGTCCCAACAAGCTCCACATGTAGTGCAGTGACTGTTGTTATGGAAGGCAGTGCTACAGCCATTTCACGATTGGTTGAAAACAGTTTTTAAAAATAGAATTAGTTTGTATATCTGCAATATTTATTAGTGTAATTAGTTATTTTTTTAGCAAACATTGAGTAATTTAAAAAGATTACCTAAATGTATATAGAGATTAGCTTTTGAGATGGATAAGAAATGTTGGATTCCACTGTCAAATGTAGTGATTTCCATGATAGTAGGAACTGCAGATGCTGGAGAATCTGAGATAACAAGGTGTACAGCTGGATGAACACAGCAGGCCAAGCAGCATCGGAGGAAATTTCTGAAGAAGGGTCTAGGCCCGAAATGTCAGCCTTCCTGCTCCTCTGATGCTGCTTGGCCTGCTGTGTTCATCCAGCTGTACACCTTGTAGTGATTTCCATGCTTTTTTTTTGTTATCCAACTTCTTTCCATCACTTCTTTGTACAACTAGCATGTAAAAATTGCTCAGGAAAATCTTCCTATTTAGTCTAACATATCAGCTTTTTGTTTCTAGTTTACGATATATCAATGTTTATATAACAAAACACGATTACAAGCATCAGAAATAGATGTTGAGAAAGAAAGGTAAAGTTAACCAGAGACATTGGAAAGGAGTTATACAACCAAAGTAATATTTAACAGAATAGGGGACAAAGTCAACAGTAAAAGATAAGTAGATAATAAATCACAAACCTGGCAAAAAGTAAATTTTAGAAAAAAAAAATGCATTACAAAGAAAGACAAATTTTAATGGTATAGAAAGTGGACTTCAAGTAGCTAATTCTAATTTATTTTATAGAACAAAACACCATTGGTTAATGAGAGCTTGAAGAAATTTCTGAACACTGAGGACGGTAAGTACTGTTTTAATTGGATTTGTCAGTTAAATAAATGAAAACAGCACAATCCTGCTATGTACACTGGAATATTGTAATGTAAAGTGGGGTATAGTTTCTGAAATGTATTCGGAAGAATTTTCTAGATCATTTTGTTTCCAAATCAACAAGAGAAGTCACTTTTTGCATTTCATTCTGAGGAATGAGTTAGATGACTAAGAGATGGTGATCGCAGTATCATAAAGTTTGGGTTAGCTGTGGAAAAGGATAATGCGGAAGTGGAAAAATAATTGAAGGTGGAGGGGGCAAGGGTGGTGTGGTACAATTTTAGTATTGTGAGAACAGACCTCGTCATGGTAAATTGGAATCAAAGGTTGACAGGCAAAACTGTAAGGGAGCAATGGGTTGTTTTGAAAGTGAGATATGCCTCTATGACTCTGTTTGATTTATAGGTAATATTTTTCCATGAAATGAAAGACAGGACAAACTAAGCCAAAGCTCTTTGGATGACAAATCTTACAGAGAAAAGGAAAGATGAGAAATAACAGTTATCAGGTTGTTTATATCAGTAAGAACAAGACTGAATATAGAATGATCAAAGGAGAAAGTGGAAAAGGAGAACCAAAAAGAGAACATGGGAAGATACTGGAAGCTAAGATAAAAGAGAATCTAAAAATTGCAGAAGGCACTTGCATCATAAAAGACTGGGTGGGGCTGATTAGGGATCAAAAAGGCAATACATGCAAAGAGACAGAGAGCATGGATGAGATGCGAAATTAATTCTTTGAGTATATTTTTGTTGAAGAAGCAAATGCTATCAGCCATATTGAAAAGGCAGTAGCTGAAACACAAGATCAGCTAATAGTTGATAAAATTGAGGTATTAGAAAGTCTCTAGGTGTACTGAAAGTTGATATAATTCTCCAGGACTAAATGAGATGCATCTGTGGATTCTGAGGAATTTAGGAATAGAAGTAGTGGAGGCACTGGAAATAATATTCAAATCCTCCTTAGATATATAGTTGGTACTAGAGGACTTGGAATTGCAAATAATGCACCTTTAGTTCAGAAAGGAAGTATGGATAAACCTAGCAATTAGAGACAAGTCATTGTCAGTCATGGAAAACAGAGCTAAGAAACAATAAACTGAGTCAAAATTTAGTCACTATAAATGTGGATCAATTAAGGAAAGCCAACACTGATTTACTAAAGGCAAGTTATGATAGTTTAACTTATTTTGTAAACTAGCAAAGAAGGTTGATGAGTAATAATTGTTGTGCTGAACAAGGACTTCCACGCGGCATTTGATGAAACAGCACATAATGAGTTTATCAGCAATGTTAAAGACAATGGAAATGTTGTTAGTTGTCCCTCAATTTGAGCATAACATCTTCTTAGTGTTTTTCCCATGGGTGTGAATTGTGACTGAATAGGTTGATCTATGGATCTCTGGGTATGTGGCCAGGATGTCCCATAGATTGTGAGATCCAGAGTCCAGGATTTGTATTTTTTTTCTTTTCTACTGTTCCGTCTCTTCAATAAGATATGTGCGTCAAAACGTGATTCAACTTGATGAACAAATTTGTAGCCTTTTTGAAAGATTGAGATAAAGCTCCTCCCAGTCATTGACGCCCTTCTCCATGGAGAGCCTCAAACTGCATTTGAAACATTTCTTTTTCCTCCCTGGAATGTTGATCATTTGAGTTGAGAAAACAGCACCTGCCAGGAGAAATTCTTTTTGACCATCTGAACCTGGTTCCAGTTCATCAAAGTTGATTTTCAGGTATTTTGTCTGAATTTTAGTGGAGCTGTCTTGAAGAAGGATATTTCTAGATGTTTGGATAACAGAAGTGTGAGATGACAAGCTGCCTATACACTATACTTCAATGATTTACAAAGATCTTTATTGGTAAATACTAGCTGTTGTGGTTTGCAGAAGGCTGAACTGGTGTAGTTGAGTGTCGGATCTCCTTGTCAATGATGATCCTTTGGCTGCCAAAGTATAGGAAGTGCTGAACGTTCATGACAGTTTCCTTCAACGTATGTGGGTTGATTTCTGATATTTATTTTGGCGAGAATAAGTCAAATATCTTGAATGTAGAATTGAAGAGATTGAGAATGGCAGGGATATTGCAGTCATCTGTAAACTGTAAGTCACCTATTCATATGATGGCCAACTTAATTTTGGCACTAAGGTGACTGAGGTTAGAGTTTTCCGTTGTAGTTCTTACTTACTGGAGGGCAGTGATCTTTTAAGGTGAACCTTGGAGGCTATCACACAGCCTTGCTTAATCCTGGTTTGGATTTTGTAGGAGCATTTCGGATCTCCCACTTGAATGTAACGGTTGCAGAATTATGAAGTAGTTTTTTATTGGAGATCCAGAGCTTTGTGAACTACAGAGTGAAATGCATTGGTCAGATTAATTAATGCAATGAAGGCTTCCTTGTGTTGATTTCAGCATTTTTCTTGGATTTGTCTGGCAACAGAGCAAACGGAAGGTTCCTCAGAAAAGTCTAAAGCTACACTTGATGTCCCCGTGTGGATTACTCAACCTCCAGATGTAAGCAGTTCAGGAGCACGTGAATCAAGATTTTCCATTCTGTGGACAAAAAGAAATCTTATTTGTTCCACACATAAATTACCTGCCACCTTGAAGATAGTTACATTTCTGAAGTCTGGGAGGAATTTCTTTTTTTCTTGAATCGTTAGAATGGGTGTCTGGAGTTTTGATATTGGCTAAAACTTGCCAGCTTTGAAGACCACAGTTTGAATGCCATCAAATCTGCGTGGCTCTTGTTTTTCATCGGTGTGATTGCTTTTTTTCAGCTCTACCATTAATGGCAGTTCACCATGGATTCTATAGGAGAATAGTGGGAGAGTAATTTCATTGTGGATTCACTTTAAAGAGTTGTTGAAAATGATTCCTCCCAGCATTGTCAGATATTATTATTAATAATAATAAGAGAGACATGCAAAGCAAGTTTTGGCCATTTGATTTCGGTAAATTCAAAGCTTTTCTGCTATTGCTCAGTACATCGTTGCATCTCTCTGGCTTTCTCTTCCCACCACGTGATCTTTTTCTTCCAGATTTGTCTTAAGATGTTGACCTTGAGTTTTAGAAATCTGCTTATTTTAACGTGCAATCCTGGATTATTCTGCAAGGCAGTGAAGATTGTTTGTCGTTTTTCTTTTCAAAGATTCCTTCAATTTCAACAGCATTTTCATCAAACTAGTCTGATAATAGCAATGGAATGAAGAGGCTGCGCAGCATGTCTCTGAAGTTAGCTGGGTAACAGGAAACGGATAAGTGGTAAATTAAAACAAAATGTTAGCAAGAACTGCAGATGTTGGAGTCAGAGTCAATACAGGGTGGAACTGGAGGAACACAACAGGTCAGGCAACATCAGAGGTGCAAGAAAATCGACATTTCAGGTCGGAACCCTTCATCAGGACTGGGGCGGAGGAATAGAGCTTGGAAATAAATAGGAAGGGCAGGGGGTGGGGCTGGGCTGGGGGCAGGTAGGTGGGATGGTGATAGGTGGATGCAAGTAGGGGTAGTGGAGATAGGTCAGTGGGAGGGGTGGGGTGGATAGGTGGAAAAGATGGACAGATAGTCTCAAGTCAAAGAGGCAGGGATGAGAGGAAGGGTTCGACATGGAATGTGGCCGGGGGTGGGGAGATTTTGAAACTGGTGAATTCTAAGTTGAGGCCATCGGGCTGTAGGCTCCCGAGGTGGAATGTGAGGTGTTGTTCCTCCAGTTTGCATGAAGCATTGTTGTGACACTGGAGGAGGTCCAGGATGGACATGTCACCAAGGGAATGGTTGGCAACTGGGAGGTATTGTTGATTACACCGTACAGAACGCAGATGATCCGCAAATCATTCACAGAGTCTGCACTTGGTCTTACTGATGTAGAGGAGGCCACATTGGGAGCAACAGATGCAGTAGACTGGGTTGGAGGATGACCCCCTGTAGGATATGGAAAGTTTGTCTTTGGCCTTGGATGGAGGTGAGAGGGGAGGTGTAGGGGCATGTGTAGCACCTCCTGCAGTTGCAGGGAAAGGTGCCGGGTGTGTTGGGGAGTGTGGAGTGGACGAGGGAGTCAAGGAGTGAGATGTCTGTATGAAAGGCAGGGGTGGGGAGGGAAATACCTCTTTGGTCGTGGGGTCAGATTGGTGGAAGTGGGGGAGGAGGACGCACTGGATGCGGAGATTGGAGGGGTGGTATGTGAGGACCAGTGGGACACTGTCCTTTGCATTGATCATTGTATCGGTGCTGCCTTGCGCTCCCATGAGGAGCTTGAACAGTTCATCAACTTTACAAACTCCTTTCACCCCAACCTCAAATTCACCTGGCCCATCTCCGCTACCTCCCTCCCCTTCCTGGACCTCTCTGTCTTCATCTCCGGTAACTGTCTCAGCACCGACATCTATTTCAAACCCACCGACTCCTATAGCCACCTGGGCTACACCTCCTCTCACCCACCCTCCTGCAAGAATGTGATCCCTTACTCCTAATTCCTCTGCCTCCGCTCCCAATTTGGAACATTCCACCCCTGGACATCCCAGATGTCCTCCTACTTCGAGGACCGCAAGTTGCCCCCTCCACTCAACAAAAATGCCCTCAACCGCATCTCAACATTTCCTGCGCTTCTGCCCTCAAACTTGCTCCACCCAACAAAAATGAGGACAAAGTCCCCCGGTCTTTACATACCACTCCACCAACCTCTGCATCCAGCACATCATCCTCTGCCACTTCTGCTACCTGCAATCTGACCCCACCACCAAAGAGATAGTTCCCGCCCCACCCCATCTTCCTTTCATAGGAACCACTCACTCTGCGACTCCCTCGTCCGCTCCACAAACCCCACCACACTCGGCACCTTTCCCTGCAACTGCAGGAGGTGCTACACTTGCCCCTTCAGATGCGTGCAGTAACATCTCTGAAGAGATTGATTCATAAAAATCATTAAAATATTTGGCAGGCCTCTTTTGGAGCAGTAATAGTATCCCTATCTCTGAGTCAGGAGGCTTAGGTTTATTTCCCACCTCAGGACTAGAGGGTTTGAGTTATAAGGGTAGGTTGAGACTTTTTACTGGAGACTGGGAGCTTGATGGGTGATCTTATAGAGGCTTATAAAATCATGATAGGCATAGATAAGGTGAATAGCAAAGATCTTTTTCCTAGGGTGGGGGGAGTTCAAAACTAGAGGGCTGATGGTGATATTGAGTCCAGAAGTCTGTAGAGTTCACAAGCGGAAAATGAGGTGCTGTTCTTCTATACGTGGAATGAACTGCCAGAGAAAGTGGTAGATGCAGATTCAGTTACAATATTTAAAAGACATTTGGATAGATACATTAATAGGAAAGGTTTAGAGGGATATGGGCCAAATGCAGACAAGTGGAGCTAGTTTAGTTTGGGAAACTTGGTCAGCACAGACAAGTTCACTGAAGTGTCTGTTTTCTGTGTTGCATGCCTCTATGACTCTTGTGTGTAAAATGACAAAAACTTGGTGGAGTTGGCTCTTCTGAGTCCAGTGTCACTTTGAACTGAAATGTAGCTCCTGCAAAGGACTCATGAGGTGTCGTGCTAATGTCCCTACCTTAGACCTAGGAGGCCCAGTTTCAATACCTTCCACTTCAGAGGCGTGTATTAACATTTCAACAGGTTGATTAAAAATATCTAACTCCAAAGTAGATGATAAGGTTTCTTGTCCTCAGTAGGGGTATCCCTATATCGAAGCCAAAAGGCCCAAGTTCAAGTCCTATCCATAAGTATACAAAATAACAAATCTGAGCAGGTTGATTAGAAACTATCTGTAGTTTCTAAGCATTCTTGTCGTGTAGTAGTAGTGTACCTGCCTCTGAGCCAGGACACCTGGCTTCAATTCCTATCTCGTCCAGAGTTGTATCATAATAACTCTAAACAGGTTGATTGCAAAATATGTCCCAAATGGATAACAAGTGCTCTATGGCACAAAGGTAGAGACTCTATTGCAGCCTGGAGGCCCAGATTAAAGGCTCATTTAATGCAGTCTTAACAATTCTGAACAAGTTAATTTGAAAATTTCTAGACATGCTGAGATCTGCGAAACAATATTTTAGTGACACTTGTGGAGCAGTGATAGTGTACCTGTCTCTGGGCCAGGGTGCCTTCATTCGACTCCCAACTAAAGTGGTTTATCAGAACATAATCTGAACAGAGAGATTTTAACCTATTTCCAGAAATTATCCATTGTGGAAGGGTGAAGAAGTAGAAGGCACTGATTAAAGGTGAATGGCAAAAGAACAAAATCTATTTAGTGCAACGAGTGATTACAATGTAGAATAATATAGAATATGGAATTTGGTAAAGGCAGATTTAACCCATATTTTCAAAGGGGAACTGGAAACTTGTTTGAAGAGAAAGCAATTTAAGGCTATGGGGAAAGGACAGCGATGTATAACTAGCTGAGTTCATCTGCATCGAACCAGAATTGACACAATTGGTCAAGTGGTATCCTTTTTGGCTATAACCGTTCCATGTATGAAAACATACTGGTAAATTTTTTCAGAATTTGACAGACAGTTGTACTTCATAGGGCGTTTGGTGGCTGGTCTTGTTGCTGAATTTCTCCAATTTTTCAATCTGGACTTCACTTTGGCAGTATTCCGACCAGAAACAAACACTGTAAGTTAATTTCACTTCTTTTTAAAAATTTAAATAGATTGAGTCATAAGACTTCAGGGTGGTCAGGCCTTGTCCAAAATATTTTGAGCTTGGTACTATTTAAGCTATATTTTTGTTTCTGACAAAACTTAATGAATGGTGAAAGAGATGACCATTTCTTTAAAAAATGTCTTCTACACCCGCACTTCCCAATCCAGAAAGTGGGGATGGAAAAAACGTGCATGTCTGTAACCCCTTTCATAATCTCAAGATGCTACATTGTGCTTTACAGCTGATTTAAATACCTTTGAAATGTGGTCACAATTGTAATATCTGTAAGTTCATTACAAATTTCTCACTATCACATTTTCTAAATTTCCAAATACCTCACCTTTTGGTTTCCAATCCTTTATTATATCTCTGCAGTAGTGTTTCTGTGGGGCCTGTCTTGCTGTTGGGACAGGGCGATGATAGAGGTGGCTGGGGCTTTTTGTATCAAATGTGATTTGCTGTGAGCACCATGTCAAGCCTGACTAATCTGTAAGAAAGCTGTTGTAATTTTGGAATAAGTCCCCAGTTATTAGTAAGGAGACTTCACAATGCTGACTGGGCCTACCTTGCCCAGTGCTGCTTCTGGTGCCTTGGTCTGTGCTGGGTGGTTTGTCTGGTTTTATTCCATTTTTAATTTTCTTTAGTGGCTTAGTACAACTAAGCAGCTTGCTGGGCCAATTCAGAGAAACACTAACAGGCAATCACACTATTGTGGGCCTGGGAGTCAAGTATAGGCCAAAATACGTAAAGGGCATTTGTGAAACATGTGTTTTAATGAGAATCTGATGTTGTCAGTAATGATGAACGTGAAACTGACATTTCATTCCAGGTTTATTAATTAACTAATGTTATAGACCAGACCAGACACCCTCAAAAATATTTTAAAAAGGTGGCCTAGACCCTAACTTTCTCTTATTTTAAAGGCAAATGTAAAGTGCTGTGTTCCAGATGCAGTGCAACTGGTCAAACTACTCAACATTAAACAAAATACAATTTATTTAAACACTACAGTCAAAATACAAAAAAAGAACTCAGATTAATGTAACTCTTTTGGAAAACTTAATAGAATAATAGATACAGTAACTATTACCAATTAACTGTTTCAATATAGTAACATCCCACAAATGCACCCTTTGGTAGAAAGGCAAATGAGAAAAATAGATTTGTCTCACAAGTAACCCAGCAGCAGAGAGAAATCCCAGCTTCTAGCTGTAACTGAGAAAGGGAAAGGATAGCTTCTATTCTTCAAAACTGCAGCAGCTTCTGCCCTGTTGAGACTCCAATAGTAACTGCTTAAAGCTAAACCTAAAAACTAAAAAAAAATGATATTCTGTTCGGTTAGAGCTGGCCACACCCATCTAGGTTGCTCCTATTGTTCCAACTTTTAAAAAACACCTCTAGGCCTCCTAAGCTGTTTATTCTCTATGGGTCCTCACTGGGCAGCTTTGAGCATCTGCCTTAAAATCTCTCTTCAAAAAAAAGGACAAAATAAACTCTTAAAGTCACAGCATCATCACACTAAACTTACATTCCACAAGCTACCATGGTAGGATTTGACTTGTGTGTCTAGTGTATTACTCTGTGTCTCTGGATTATGCCACTATCTCCAAAAAGTGCATTTGCAATCCCTGTCAAAGTGATTTGTTATTTACAAATTATCAAGTCTTCAGTTTCTATTGTATTTTGTGCTTAGTTCACTGGACTGGATGGACGAGATAATCTTGCAAGGGAACTAGGGATTCATGAAAGAGAAGAATTGAAGGGAGTACCATTATTATTGGAGGTGATAAGAAACGGTCAACAAAAGGAAAAAGGCACTTGCCCCTCTGACGTAAGTAGTTTATATAATAGATGATAAATATTTAAATAATACGCTTGTTTCATTAGCAGTTGCTATTTGTGCTATTTTTCATAAAGTAATTTTGATTCGTAAAGAATTGTTTATGAATGAAGAACTAGATTTTGCAGCTGTAAATTGTGTGGGCCACTGTTATGTGCACCCCAATCCCCAGCCTTCAGCATAGATAGAATATGGCATAATAATGTCCAGTTAGTCATCCAGTGTCACCACGTCAGGTCCAGTACAGAGGATATGCAGGCATGACAACCAGAAGGCTGCCCGCCACCTTTTTTTAAAAAAAAACAAATAAGCTTTTGAGCTTGTTAAGGAGTCAATTATATGTAACTTATTTTGTTTCCCATTCCACTTTTGGGTGATGGGTTGAAAAAATGTTTGGGAGTCTAATATGCCAGGTATAATGAGGTGACAAAACAGCGAAAGAAGTTTCCAACAGGACCTTGTCTGCATGTAGCAGCGAAGTCTGATAGTGAATGAGTCAGTATATGTATGTTTGTTGGCTCAATTTATTCATTGCTTGGAACCTACCATAAGCTATTCATTGCTAGAACACTGCCAAAGAAATAAAGAGAAATTAGAAACACAGGTGTCTTTAGATTGGTGGCTGTTAACAATTTCTTGTTCACAGCTTACCCCACCTCCTTTGTGACGTGTAAACCTAGATGTGCAGAGCCCTCCTTTGCGCCACCAATTGACAGCCCAGTTGGCAGCCATTAATTTTCATCTGAAGCTTAATTCATCATGCTGAAGAGCATTAAATCCAGCTCCAGATCTTGCTGTGCTCAAACCTTCAGTTTGATTCTGCAAAGGCTACACTCTGTCTCATCCAATTGCAAATCATCTTATGCAGAAAAAAAGACTTGGTTATAGGGGAGAATTGTGTACATTCTATTGAGTTTTGTAGTTGGTAAGACTTTTAATCAGGTAGGAGTATAGTGGATAGGAACCTGCTACCTACCTGTTTGCACTCCAATTAAGCCTGGGGCCTGTTGACAGCCCACCTGCCCCATTGCCAGTTGATGCTCTTAAGTAAGTAATTAATTGCCACTGGAGGTTTTTTTTAATATAGAATCCCTACAGCAAGGAAACAACAGGCCATTTGGCCCAACTAGTCCACACCAACTCTCTGAAGAACATCTCACACAGACCCACCCCCCTACCCTATCCCTGTAACCCTGCATTTCCCACGGCTAATCCACCTAGCTTGCACATCCTTGGATACTATGGACAATTTAGCATTGCCAATCCACGTAACCTGCACATCTTTGGAAATAAGGAAACCAAAGCACCCGGAGGAAACTCAAGTAGACACGGGGAGGATGTGCAAACTCCACACAGACAGTCACCCATGAATTGAACATGGGTCCCTGGCGCTGTGAGGCAGTAGTGCTAACCACTGAGCCACTGTGCCGCCCTGTTCATTGTGATGATCTATGGCTTTCGTGGTAGCAACTGTGAATTCTTCCTCAACCACACTACACCAGACAGGCCCTGTACTTCCCTACACTGAAGAGGATTAGGGCAGCAGCCTTTCTTACAAGCAGCAGCTTGCACAGCATAGTGAACTGGCACGTCCATTCAGCAATACTGAGCACAAAGAAACAGGGCTGCGATTGTTGAAAGCCATTTGTTCCCAGTCCCTAGTCTTCTCTGCAGGGGTTCCTGGCCCAACCACCTTCATCAATGAACTTCCACCTATCATAAAGTCAGAAAGAGGAATGCTGAATGATGACTGCAGTGTTCAGCACCATTTATGACTCTTAAGTAGTTACAGTCCATATTAGCAAGACCTGAAAAACATTCAAGCTTGGGGTGACAAATGGCAAATAAGTTCTGCGCCACACTGTTTCAGGAAATCACCAATGAGAGAGAATTTAACCTATCTTCCCATTCATGTTCAACAGCATTTCTGTTGCTGAATCTTCTGATAACAACATTCTGAGGGGTTATTATTGATGAGAAACTTAACTGGACCATTCATATGAATATTATAGCTGCAAAAGCTATTATAGAAAGAACATTCTTCGATGAGTAACTTCCCTCCTGATTCCCAAAAGACTGTCTACCATCAGTAAGGTACAAGTCAGCATTGCAATGGAATAATTTCAATTTGGTTGGTAGAATGCAGTACAATTCAATCTAGAATAAAGCAGCCTGCTTAACTGTCATCCAATCCACCACTTTAACCATGCTGTGGGGTGGGGGCAGAAGGATGGTGAAAGTGTGGGAAGCATAACAAGCAAACCTATGCAGTGTTATTTGCAGGCTTTCTGATTTAAAAGTCACTGGACTTAGTGTTACCTCTGCTTTCTTCCCACAAATGCTGCTAGACCTGCTGAGTTTCTCCTGCAATTTTCTGATTTGTTTCCTAATAACAATGGCCAAGTTCCAGTACCGTAGTATCAAGCAATCAATCTCTTGATTTGATTTGCTGTAGGCAGTGGCATTTCCCTACACTATGGTGACAGCAGTTAGACGATGTTGAATTCCTCATGCTGAACCACTGTCTCAGTGTAACTCCTGTATATTTGTGTTAAGAGTTGGTTTTTATTTGCAGCACTGTGGCTATGGGTTTTTGAGTTTTTTTTTATATTTCATAAAGTCCAATTCAAGTGATTTCAATCCTTCAGTACTAACCCAAAAGCAGATGCTGTAAATCTGAAATAAGAGGCCATGTGAAAGGTTGTTGATCTGAAATTTTTAATTCTGTTGCTTTCTCCACAGTTGCAGCTAGATTTGTTAAATATGTCCAAAACTTGATGTTTTTATGTCATTGGGTGTCTTTCCCATTCATCATGATGTCCACTCACGTGGTCTAACCTTTAGTCGTACTCAATTACTTCATTAGTACAGGCATAGAATATAGGAGCAAGGAAATCTGTTACAACTTTATAAATCATTGGTTAGGCTACAGATGGAATATGTGTGTAATTTTAATCACCACACTAATGGAAGGACATGATTGCTCTTGAGAGGGTGCAGAGAAAGTTCAATGGGATAATGTATGGGATGGAAAGCCTCCGTTATGACGGGAGACTGAACAGGCTGAGTTTGTTTCCCTTGGAGCAATGGAGGCTGAGGGGGTGGGAATCTAATTGATGTATGCCAGATTAAATGAGGCATAGGATAGATCGTGAGAATCTTTCCCCATAGCAGATGTGTCTAAGACCAGAGGGATAAATTTAAGGTGAAGAGTAAGTGGTTCAGAGGAGATCTGAGGAATTATTTTTTCACCAGAGGGTAGTAGGAAAATGGAACATGCTGTCTGAGCGGGTGGTAGAGGCAGGTATTCTTGCAACATCCATGAATATTCTGGATGAGCAATTAACTAGAGTATGGTAGACAGTGGACCCAGGGCAGACAAATGGAATTTGGTTGGCATAGACATGTTGGGCCAAAGAGCCTGTATCTGTGCTGTCTGATCATGTCAGACGTGATTAAAGGTTTTCTGAAAGTCCAGAACAAAGTATATTGTGGGACTTTCATCATATAATTTCCATGTCTTCCAAGGAAGTTTGTCATTCAGATATAGCTGTTTTAACTCCTTTACCTTCTTATTTATTTCTGTATTAATTGTACCTTTTTTCATAACCTAATTTTTGCATTTTCTATCCTCAGCAGGTCATTTGACTGAGTTGGCATTGCAGTTACACCTAACCTGTCATGTGCATTTTTCAACAGGAGTTTGAAGTTGATAAGTACAGATTAGGAATGAGAATGCTGGCTGATTTTTCAACTCTTGTGCTCTTTCCATGATGCTGAGGCAAATTGGAGCTCATCATTTATTCCTGAGTTTAAATCCGTTATCTTTTAGTTTGGGAGAATCAGTACACTTTATTGGAGGTGTCTTTATTCTGAAGGCTACCAGGAAAGCCCCTTCAGTAATGTTTAATTGTTAAAACAACTTTCTGTTTAGAAGCCAGAAACGATCACTACTGTTGTTTCTGTCTGATGTGATAAGAAAAGTATATAATTACGTATAACTTTTGATTGCTTAAGATACTACATTTTAAGATTCAATATTCAAAGCACAAATTGTTAAACATTTTTTAAATGCAATATTTTAGTTTAAAAGTAATTTCTAAAAGAAAACCATATGTGTTTGCTGAACATTAACATAAGAAAGTTGGTGGTGGGGGAATTTATGACAATAACATAAAAACAATGTGTTCTTTTTATTGTAGGGTGACCTGCTTAATTGTATTCCTAAGGTACTAAATAATTTATGCGACTGGTGATAAGTATTATTGTTTTGTACAAGTTACTGGGATTTACGTACCAATATGGTCCTCTTTCTATTCACAACCTTCATAATTATTTTAAGTTCCAAATTTTGCAGCTTTTCAGTAAGTGATGCAGTGGGAGATTTATGTTGTTTTACCAGGCCATTGGTGCTAGGAGTGAAGGGATGTGGATGGGGAAAGTTAGAAAATGAATGACAGGAATGCTAACATGTTCTAATTCCTCCTGTATTTTCTGGAGGTAGTTCAGCACACTAGTGTCAAACCACCCAGCAGCACTAGGAAGCTAATTCAGATATGAATGAAGCAGTTCGCAGATATTTTCTGAGAATTGTGAAATTTTACTGACAGGAAGTAAGATTAGAATGCCATGAAAATAATGCATAGATCTTGAGGTCAGCAGCAAAGCAGAGGGATTCCTTGCTGACTGCATTTAAAATTACATTCTTAACAGTATTGTAGGCTGCAGAGGGAACTTTTTCTCTTCGCTGTAGTGTAGATGTATCAGCAAGGTGAGGAGAGAGATGCAGATATAGGTACAACTCCAGTAAACCACACCTGTGTTGTTAAAAGATGAATACAGGCTCCTCAAGATATGCTTTTGGCTCAATGCTGAATATTTTTCGTAATTTCTTTATTCTACTTGTAATTCCTACTCCCCTTGCCCATTGTCCCTGGATATCGGTGCGATTAAATAACCAAGGCGGAACTGATAGAAGCAGGATTGTAGTTGATGACTGGAGTGGGAGTGCAGAATGGGTGTGTGAGGAATGACCGGGTGATGGGGATGTGGGGAGTATGAGTAGTGAGCAAAACCTGGGATGACTTGGAGTTACAAGTACAGTTTGAAATTTGCAAATGATACAGAACTCGAGGGAGATAATATTAGATTTCAAGGGGGGAATAAATGAACTGGCAGCATGGATGGGCACATGACTGTTTCTGGTGACTGAAGTCGATGACCATTTGTGGAAATACTTTCATTAACAAGAACATTTTGGAATTGGAGCAGTCTGTCTAGGAGGTGAATATAGATTCAATGATAACCTTCAAAGGGAAATTGGATAATTTCTTAATGGAGAAAACATTTGTAGGAATATGAGAATGATCTGGATAGTACATCTGTTTATTTGAAGGAGCCAGTGCAAGCTAGATGGACTGAATGGCTTCTTGTATGCCCTGTTTATGCTTATTCTGAGAACCTACCGTAGTTTCGTGAACCAGTGTTAATGAAGTAGCATAGTTTCTCAGAAGCATGGAATTGTTGATGTCATTTTAGTGTACAATAAAACGTGACCAAGAGGGATGGTAAATGTATTGCCATCTAATTTAATAAATTTGCAACTGTGTAACAATTCTTATATTTTTCTCTATTTTGGTTAAAAGCTTGTTTTGACTTTTTTCCAGGATTTGTCAGCAAAACTTATAACAGAAGCCAAGAGAAAGTTTGAATTTTATGATAGAGTGAGTTTTTAACATTCTGCCAGTATAAATTGGATTGTAAATATGTGCTGAATTTTGTGTATATTGTAATTTCTTATGTATTTTCGTGCACTTTTGTTATCAGCGGATTTGTGAAGTTGAAGTTTTATGGCTATTGCCATAAAGATTTTTTTTATGAATGGTGTAAATTTTACACATTTTAATGACATATAAACAATCAAATATAAAAATATAGTACAGTATGAAAATGAAAGAATCCATATTTGGTTGCGCGCTGTTAGTGATTGCTTGCCAGGAGAGCATGTCAGAAAATCTCAGGCCCATAACAAATGATTTTATTTATCTTGAAGTGTAATGGACGGACTCAATGCAAGAAATCATGAGGTGTCATATTTTCTATGATTTGAGTGGAATCCTTCGAGTTCTGTATTTTCAATATTTTAGTTCAATTAAATACTGGAGTTAACTCCTTTAGCATACACTCGAGGGATGGAAATCTTTTGGGAGTGTTGTGTTTATCAGAGTTAAAATTTAGAAATGTACGTATGATCTAAGGTTTAAAAAGTCCATGGTCTATCTTGATTTTAGGACAAAAATGGTGGGATAAATAAAGAAGAATTGAAGGATCTATTCATAGACCTCTTTCCTCACTTTCACAAGTAAGTCATTTTTCACTGTTTACTTTTGTATTGTACTCTGGTTCAAACCTTGTTTTTTGTTGAATTTTAACCATCGAAACCATAATTTGTTTCACTGATAGGAATATGCTGGACAGATATGTAAATGATGAATTTAAAGCTTTTAATAATGGTAAGTATACTTGACAATAAGTTTCTTAAATACATTTAAGGTTGCTGAAGTAATTGGAATTTTGTCATCTGATCCCAGTTAAGATTTAATGTTTTATCTTTCTAGCATGTTTATTTTATTACTAAGATTGTTAGATTCCCCTCTGATGTAAATTCATTCTACTTTGAAATTAATAATGTGTTTCAACACAAAGGGAACTTTCCTGTCCTGATATTCCTCTGATGAATCCATTATATGTGTGGTTTCCTAAGGAATAGAGAAATTAGGAATAGAATATTTGGCTCCTGTAAAGTGCTGGGCCATTCAGTACTACACCTACGTATCTCTATTAACTCTACTTTCTTCCCATATCCTTTGATTTTCATTAGCGCTCTCAAATGATCTATTGATCACAGTCTTAAACATGCTCATTAACTGCGCTTCCACAGCCTCATTGGGTAGAAAATTCCCTAAATGAGACCATACCCCTCAGTTCAACAGGATTTAGATTTTGAGCGTCTATTTTGTAAAACCTTGTATGAACTCTGTGTTTCACAGAAGTGACCCTTCAATTTCTTTATTCTCCAAAATACTGGGAAGTTCTACTTAACCTTCAATCATGGGACACCCCTCTTATTTAAGTAGTAAATCTAGGAAACCATTGTTCTGTCTCTTCTAAGGAAAGTATACTACTTTAGGTAAAATTTTTGCACAATACACTTGGTCTCTCCAAATCCCTGTATAATTGCAGGAAGATTTTTTTTTTGTTCCTACAACAATAACTTACGTAATGATGCTACATTAAAAAAAAACTGCACTGACTTGGTGAAAGTTAATGTACTGTTTACCTTCCAGAGTTGATGCTACACAGGCATGCTAACTTTCTTGGATTTAGTATATAAGAACACCAAAATCCCTCTAAACATATACATTTATTATGGTGTGTGGCATACCTACCTCTTAACCAAAAGCTGCCTGTTAGAGTCCCACCCCAGGACCTCTTGCCAAGGAAGATGCTTTGCTGTTAATTACTGACCTATATTAGAAGTTAACAGTGGAAAAATTCTAGAACAAGTGTCACCCAGGAAGTCTGAGCCTCTGACAGAGTCTAGTTTGGGAGCTTATTTGGAGGTTACCAGGCAGTGCAAAACTGCCTCTCAGAAGTTTAGATTTCTTGGATAATTATTGTGTGTCTGTGTGGGTTGGGACTTCTGGGATGCTGATGCACAATTGCAAATGTTTCAATGTTCATTATTGTTGACATTGAACATCTGGCTGATTCTAAAAGGCTTTTAAGAATGAGGAGATGGTTGCCTGCCATAGGGAATGGGTTATGCAGCAATACCTAGGCATTTAAACATATTTTGCTATGACCAAGAAGATTGAGGAACATTTGGTCCAGTATTTTAAAAAAGAAAAAATTGAGTGTATGTTAAAGTATTCGAAGTCCTGTGTTCAGTACAAATAGATGTTAATTCAGAGCTCCTTTACCACGCGTGTGGAGGAGGCTAGAGACTGCTCTGAATCTGGCCTCACATGCGGTCCAGTTGCTTTCTGAATCACAGCTCAGATTGGAGGTCAGTGACACTGTACCTTTCCCAATAAAGTACAGGATATTTATACATACCACGTTACAATGGTTACATGCAACATTGACATCAGTGCTTGCTGCATCCGTTTGACCTATACACCAAATCCTGTAAATACACGATCAATGATGCACAACTTCATGGACGACCTTGCGGCCTCTCATCATCTCATGATGTCTGCCAGACTCTTTATCAACTGTCCTTTGGCTCCTACGATTATCAACTACATTCCAGTATAGATTTATGTCCCTTCCTAGACATTTGCTAGCCGCATCGTTTTCTTGTTTATTACTAATGACTTTTCAAATTTGCTCATGCAATTCAGATCCCTTGCTGATCTTAGTACTGAAGATTAAAAGGGATGTTGATTACTACCAATTGATATATTTGTAATATCAGCTCTATTATAAATTTATGTATAAAATTGTATATAATTAAACATAATACTATGATTCTGTGACAGAGCTAACAATTTCATTAACAGCTTCCCTCTTATCTGACTGGCAAAGTGGCAGTTGTTTATTCTCTTGAGGTCATAGTGATCTGTTTCAAAATTGTTTCTACCGCCCCTGCCATGTTGTTTGTCTCTAGGTCCTTCATAGAATTTGTACAGTGTGGAAGTAGGCCATTCAGCCCATCATATCCACAGTGACACTCCGAAGACTATGCCACCCAAACCCGCCCCCACCATATCCCTGTAACCATACATTTACCACGGCTACTCTACTTAGACTGCGCATCCCTGGAAACTATGGGGCAATTTAGCACGGCCAATCCCACCTAACCTGCGCACCTTTGGACTGTGGGAGGAAACCAAAGCACCTGGAGGAAACCCACACAGACATGAAGAGAATGTGCAAACTCCACACAGACAGTCACCCAAGAGTCAAATCAAACCTGGGTATCTGGTGCTGTGAGGCAGCAGTGCGAACCACTGAGCCCCCATGTTCTAATCTTCTTGCTGACGGAGAAAAAAGTTTTTTTTCAAGAGCGTTTGTTGAAATTAGTCTCTGCATCCAAGACTAGCTGCCTTCAAAATTTAATTCCCCAATATCTAATAAATTTAAACTTCTATTCTTGTATAAATGTGTCTGCTCTTAATACGTAATAATAGTTATTTAAAAAGCCTCATCTCAGGCAAATCAAGCTTTCCCCTTCTACTTCGTATAAAAATCTGAAATCTCAAATCAGATGGTTTTCATCTGAGCTGCCTTATTAGTCTTACTGTTTGCATTCTAGTCCGATCTTACTAAGACTCAGGCATTTTGTTGTCTGTCTGTGAAGGCCATGATTTGAGCTATATGAAATGCTACATCAGCTAAAATTTCCTTCGATTGACTGTGTCAGTTTAAAAAAAAATACCCTAATAGCCATTTTGTCATATTCAGCCACGGGCAGCTACAACAGTGTAAATGAGGAAACCAGCAGAATAATTAACCTCGGCAACCAAGAAATGGCAATGGAAAAAGTTGTTATTTTGCTTTGTTATTCACTTGATACAATATTAGATTTGTCAGCAGATCATATAATCAAAAATATTTTAAAACTATTGTTTATCCAGTTAAGATTTTAAAGTGATTTGTTTTATTTCTTCCTTGTTGAATTAGTGATTGATTTTGATGAGTTTCTGGGAATGTACAAAAGATTTTTCGTCCAATGTAGAAGTGTGGTAAGACAAGCTTTTGCAATTAAAAATTATAATGATGTATTTGTTTAATAAAAAGCTCCCTTTTTCCATTAGGCATACCCAGATCTGAGGGGGGAAAAAAGCAGCCAGGACCCTTCTAAACCTCTGACTCTGGAATTCTATAACTGGCTGTTCTGATTTCTAAAACCAGTTCTCTGCCCTTGAGAGACTTTCAAAAATGCATGCTTGGAACAAAAAAAAATGCCAATGAACCTAAACAATCTTCCAAGCAATCATTTACATTAGAGATTCTGAAGTGAACAGTCTTGTGCATTCATTTGAAGAGTACACTCAAATTTTTCCCAAATTCTATCATAATAAAGTAAAATCATAGAAAAAGCAGTCAAAAGGTTTTATTAACAGTTATATTTTGGTCAGTTTACAACATGGCATTATCTCAGCAGACAGAATATGTGGTATCCATAGAGAAGTGGTGGTTAATCATCAAAAATATTCATTTGCCTGTGGAAATGCCAAAATAACCAATTTTATATACCTTATCTATGTCTGGTGTTCAGCATCAAAATCTACCGAGCAGTTTCTTGAACAGAATTTTTGGTTTATTTTTAAAATGAATTTTATTCAGTAAAGATACAATAATTGGTTTATACACAGTCATATACAATAATGTGGAAGTGTAAATGTTTAATCCTCTGAATATCTGAAAAAGAAAATACTTGGGTTATACTTGGAGGCAAAAGAATAAAGTTTAAATATTTTGGAGTTTCTTGCTCTGATGTTCTTGCTGGTGTGGTCAAATCACTAATCTCGCATGTTTGGCTCTAATGTCTTGCTGACACTGTTTCCTCAGCAAGTACAGTCTCGAGATATGGTTCGAGCCGCAACATCAAAAGAGCAAATTGGTTTCACCCTGAACTCAATAAGCGGGTTTTCTTTTTGGAACTGCAAGAGAGATCAAGAAAGCAGCTTGTTTTTAGCAAACTTCCTGTATCTCAGCTTGTTCTTAGCAGGCTTCCCTCTTGCTGAACCAGATAATACAGGCACTTCTCTAAGCCAGACACTGTTCACAACAGCCTCAGCTGGAGTCTGCAGCAAAGTAAATAGTTATCATTAGTTATATGATTTACAGGATTCCTTACTTAAAAACTCCCATGTCTACAGTGATCTTTAATTGACCTTGTTTAAAGAAACCACTTCAAGTATATTTAAAAAACTTGAAACAAATCAATTTTCCACAATCTTTCAAAAGTTTGCCCACCAGACAATGTAAGTGTATAGCATCTTCACAGCAAGTCTTAAAATGGTCAAAGGAATGTTCAGCGAAGCTGGAGCAAAGAAAACCTCAGTTCACTCTGGTACATAAGAATTAGGAGCAGTTGTAGGCAATTCAGCTCCTCAAACCTGCTCTGCCACCTAATACAATCATGGTTGATCTCATCTTGGCCTCAACTCCGCTTCCTTGCCCACTGCCCATGACTAATTAAAAATCTGACCATCTCCTCCTTAAATTTATTCAGTATCCTGGCATCCACCACACCCTGGGGTAGGAAATTCTGCAGATTCACGACCCTTTGATAGAAGTAGTTCCTCCTCGTGACTCTTTTAAATCTGCTATCCTTTAGCTTAAAACTATGACCTTTCATACTGGAGTGCCCCACAAGGGGAGATATCTGCTCTATGTCCGCTTTGTCAATCCCACACACTTATCCATGTTAAACTTCATCTGTCACATTGAATCATTTACTTATCCTATCCATTCCAATTGTAAATTTCTTATTTCTTCATTGAAGCTTATTTTACTCTGATTTTAGTATCTTCTGAAAATTTGGCTACAGTATATTTTATTCTCATATCCATGTCATTGATATAGATTGACAATAGTTATGGAGTCATAAAGTTATACAGAACAGAAACAGACCCTTTTGTCCAAATTGTGTGTGCTGACTGTACCCTAAACTGATCTAGTCCCATTTGGCCCATATTCCTCCAAACCCTTCTTTTTCATGTACCCATCCAGATAACTTTTAAATGTTGTAATTATACCCACCTCCACCACTGCCTCTGGCAGCCCATTCCATATATCCATCATCATCAGTGTCAAAAAGTTGCCTCTGACGTCCCTTTTAAATCTTTCCCCTCTCACCTTAAACCTGTGCCCTCTGGTTTTGGACTCCCTATCCTGGGAAAATGACCATGACCATTCCCCCTTTCCCTGCACCTCATGATCGTATAAACCTGTACAAGGTCACCCCTCTGATGTTGCAGGGAAAGAAGCCCCAGCCTATTAAGCCTCTCCCTGTTGTTCAAACCCTCCATTCCCAGCAACATCCTTGTAAATCCTTTCTGCACCCTTTCAAGTTTAACAATACTTTTCCTAAAGCAGGGAGACCAGAAATTAATGCAGTATTCCAGAAGTCACCTCACCAGTGACCTATAAAGCCACAACATGACATCCCAACTCCTATGCTCAATGCACAGACTAATGAAGGCAAACGTGTCAAATGCCTTCTTCACCACTGACTACCTGCGACTCCACTTTCACAGAACTATGCACCTACACTCCTAGGTCTCTTTTTGTTTGGCAACGCTCCCCTGGGCCCTACCACTAACTGTATAAGCCCTGCCCTGGTTTGGCATACCAAAATGCAACACCTCACATTTATTTAAATTAAACTGCATCTGTCATTCCTCGGCCCATTGGTCCATCTGATCAAGGGCCCATTGTACTCTGAGCTAACTTTCTTCACTGTCCACTACCCCAACAATTTTGGTGTCATCTCCAAACTTACTAACCATACGTCCTATATTCACATCCAAATCATTTATATAAATGACTAAAAACAGCAGATCCAACATTGATCCTTGCAGCACAGCACTGGTCACAGGCCTCTAGTCCGAAAAACAACCCTCTACCACCGCCACCCTATGTCTCCTGCCTTCAAGCCAATTTTGTATCCAATTGGCTAGCTCCCGTTAGATTTCATGTGATCTAACCTTGCTAACCAGTGTATCATGCGGAACCTTGTGTCTTGCTGAAGTCCATATAGACGTTTACTGCTTTGCCTTCATCAGTCTTTGTCATCTCTTCAAAACACTCAATCGAGTTAAGGAGTGATGCCTCTTGGGGGAATATCACACTGACAGCCAGCTTTCCGGTACCCTAACTGGCTCTACTGTAAAACGGAGTATGTCAGGTCCCAAGCATTCTATTGTGATAAGGGAGAAAAGAGATAGGTCTGAGGCTTGTTCAGTAAATCAGGGCTGCAAGTTAAATATTCAAGGCAGGCAAGAGCAGAGAATGAGGTAAGGGTGATTAATTAAACTGCATTTATTTATGTGCAAGAAGCCAGACGGGCAAGACGGATAAACTTAGGGCATGGTTGGGAACATAAGACTGGGATATCATAGCTATGACAGAAACATGGCTCAGAGAGGGGCAGGACTGGCAGCTCAGTATTCCAGGGTGTAGAACCTAAAGGAAGAATGGAAAGGGATAGCAAGACAGGAAGGGGTGTGGCCTTTTTGGGTAAGGATATTCCTGGGAAAACATCCAGTGAAGTTATGTGGGTGGAACTGAGAAATAAGAAAGCGATGATCACCTTATTGGGATTTTACTATAGGCCCCCAAATAGTCAGTGGGAAGTTGAGAAGCAAATAATAAAGGAGATCTCACATATATGTAAGCATAATATGGTAGTAATGGGAGGGGATATTAACTTTCCAAACTTAAACTGGAACTGCCATAGTGTTAAGGGCTTAGATAGAGAGGAATTTGTTAACTGTGTACAAGAAAATTTTCTTATGTGGTATGTGAATGTACCTATTAGAGAAGCACCAAAAGTTGAGCTTCTGTTGGAAAATAAGGCAGGGCAAGTGACTGAGTTGTCAATGGGGGGAGCACTTTGGGGCTAGTGATCATAATTCTATTAGTTTTAAAACAGTTATGGAAAGGGATAGACGTGATCTAAAAGTTAGAGTAAGGCCAATTTTGATGGTATTAGGCAAGAACTTTCAAAAGTTGATTTGGAGAAGATATTCACAGGTAAAGGGACAGTTGGAAATTGGGAGGCCTTCAAAAATTAGATAATGAGAGGTTAGAGACAGTGTATTCCTGTTAGGGCAAGGCTGGTAGGTGTAGGGAATGCTGGATGACTAGAAAAATTGGAGTACTGGTCAAGGGATAGGAGGAGGCATATGTCGGGCAGAGACAGCTGGGATCGTGTGAATCCCTAGAGGAGTATAAAGACAGTCGGAGTACCTTAAGAGGGAAATCGGGAGGGCAAAAAGGGGACATGGCATGGCTTTGGCAAATAGGGTTAAGGAGAATCCAAAGAGATTCTACAAATATATTAATGGCAAAAGAGTAACAAGTGTGAGAAAAGGGCCCTTTTAAAGATCAGCAAGGATCCAAAGATGCTATATATGGAACCACAAGAGATGGGTGAGTGGTGAGATACTGAACAAATATTTCGTGTCAGTATTTAATGTGGAGAAGAACATGGAAGCTAGGGAACTTGGGGAAATAAATAGTGATATCTTGAGAAGTGTCCATATTACAGAAGAGGAAGTGTGGAGGTCTTAAAACGCATAAAAGTAGCTAAATCCCGGAACCTGTTTCGGTGATCCCAGAACTTTGTAGGAAGCTAGGGAAGAGATTGCTGGGCCCCATTCTGAGATATTTGTATCTTTGACAGCCATGGGTGAGGTGCCGGAAGAGTGGAGGATGGCTAATGTGGTGCCATTATTTAAAAAGGGTGGTGAGGAAAAGCAAGGAAACTATAGACCAGTGAGCCTGATGTTATGGATGGGTAAGTTGTTGGAGGGGATTCTGAGGGACAGGGTTTACATTCATTTGGAAAGACATTGATCAATTAGGGATAGTCAACATGGTTTTGTATGGGGGAAATCGTGTCTTCAGTTGTAGGCCAGAGGATGGAACCCTGTGGTACCCCACTAGTTGAGCTTGCCAACCTGAAAGGTACCATTTATCCTGACTCTCTGCTTTATGTTCGTTAAAGTCAAAAATCACATGACACCAGGTGATCGTCCAACAGGTTTATTTGAAATCACAAGCTTTTGGGGTGTAGCCCCTTCATCATGGCTGCGCTCTGAAAGCTTGTGCTTTCAAATAAACCTATTGGACTATCACCTGGCATTGTGTGATTTTTGACTTTGTCCACCCCAGTCCAACACCGGCACCTCCACATTATGTTGATTAGCCACTCTTCTACCCAAGCTAATATGTTACCCCTAACCTAGTGTGATCTTACCTTGTGTATTAAATTTTCATACGGCAACTTATCAAGTGCCTCTGCAAGTCCAGATATATTAGATCTACAGGACCCTGATTATCAACTTTATTTGTTACATCTTTGAAGAACTCTAGCAAATTAGTTAAACACAATTTACCCTTTGTAAAACCACACTGACTCTGATGGATTGCATTGTGATTTTTCCACATGTTCTTTACTACTTGATTAATAATCGATTTCCGTTAATTTCCCAGTGACAGATACTAAATTAACTGGTCTATAGTTTCCTGCTTTCTGACTCCCTCCTTTTTTGAATAAATGTGTTATGTTAGCATTTTTCCAACCCATTGAAACCTTTCAAGAATCAGGTAGATTTTGGAATATTACAACTTATGCATCTGCTATATTATACCATGACTTTTAAGATTCTAGGATGTACGTCATTAGGCCTTGAGGACTTGACTGCCTTTAATCCCAATAGTATGCTCAGTACTTTTTCCCCTGTGATGGCAATTATTTTAAGTTTCTCCTTTTCTATAACCTCTGCATTACCTATTATTGTTGAGATGGTTTCATCGTCCTTCACCATGAAAACTGAGGCAAAATATTGATATAGTCTGTTATTTCTGTGTTCCCAGTTATCAACTCTCCAGACTCATCCTGTAAGAGACTAACATTCACTTTAACTGCTGTATTCCTTTTATAAACTTACAGAAATGCTTGCTACCTGTTTTAAGATGTTGCACCAGATTTCTTTCTTAATTAACATTTTGCTCTTTTTATATATTTTTTGGTAACCCTTTGTTGATCTTTAAAACTTTCCCTGTCCTCTGCCTGCCACTGACCTTAGCAGTATGGTATGCTTTAGATTTTTGGCCTGATGTTATTAAATTGCTTGCTTAGTAAGCTTACTTTTTCCCCCTCTTACAATCTTTCTTCCTCTCTGGAATATATTTTAGATGGAAGGAATTGACTATCTCCTTAAATATCTGCCACTGTTGATCAACTATCCTACCTTTTGTCTTTCTGTACAGTTCACTAGGGCCAATTCTGTCCTCATGCTTATGTAATTACCTTTCCTTAACACCAGAAAACTTGTGTGAGATTCAGAGTTTCTGGTCTTCAAACTGATTTTGAAGTTCCACCATGCAATGATCACTCTTCCCTACTAAGATGCCACCTGGACTGGAAGGTTTGAGTTATAAGGAGAGGCTGGGACTTCTTTCCATGGAGCATAGGACATTGAAGGGTGACCTTATAGAGGTCTATAAAATCATGAGAGGCATAGATAAGGTAGATGAGTAAATGTAACAATAAAGCTAATTCTAATTCTAAGATAACTAACAGCTTTTACCCATCACAGGGGAATCAAAAACGAGAGGGCATAGGTTAAAGGTGAGAAAGGAGAGGTACAAAAGGGTCCAGAGGGACAATTTTTTTTACACAGAGGGTAGTGAGCGTCTGGAACAGGCTGCCAGAGGTTAGTGTGGAGGCGAGTACAATTTTGTCATTTAAGAAACATTTGGACAGGTACACAGTTGGGATAGGTATGGAGGGATATGGACCAAACGCAGGCAAATGGGACTAGTTTAATGTGAAGGCCGAAGAGCTTGGTTTCCATGCTGTAAACCTCTATGACTATGACTATGTCTATGTGATTGTTCATTAATCCTATCTCATTATACATTACTAAATCCAAAATAGTCTGCTCCCTGATTTGTTTGGAACAATATGTTGGAGAACCACAATCTGTAATAAAATCTATGAATGCTGTTTTGAGACTATCCTTGTCAATTTAATTAATCCAGTCTATAGAAGATAGAACAGTATAACACTGGAATAGGCCTTATAGCCCACCATTTCTGCAACAACCATGATGCCATTCTAAACACATCCCATCTGCCTGCACATGGTCCGTATCCCTCTATTCTCTGCCTGTTCATGTGTCTGTATAAATGCCACTTAAACGTTGCTATCATATCTGCTTCTACCACCTTCTCTGGCAGTGCATTCTAGGCACGTAAAACCCTCTGGATTAAAATAATTTTCCTCGCACATCTCTA